TATCAGCAACTGACCATCATTGACGAAATGTTGTCAATGTTAACCTTGAAGTACTATTCAAACAATCTGCACTTGAGATAATGTATGTATACTTGACTCTACACTTGTATAATCTTAAGATTTTTTTTTCTAAGGGATGATGGTTTCAAAGCTAAAATAATTTTTTAAAGGGAAATATTGTGCTGAAGACTTGAATTTCATGAGCGGTGTGGGTTCAAATCAAAAACCACTCTGTGGAGGAGGTGCTGCTCTATGAACGTTTTTTGAAACATGTCATCCAAGCCATGTACATGCAGTTAATTACGTCAAATAATAGTTTGAAAAATAAGTTTTATATTGTACTGGAAAGTGAGCACATTTGAAATGGAATATAATAAAAACATTGTGAGAGACTGTGTTTCATCACACTTCCAGATACCTTAAAGGAGTAACTTACCATGCAATGCTCAGAATGGTGTTTTTGATTGAATTGAATGTGTTTGAAAATTTGATAAAACATGTACTGTACAGTACATGTGTTAGGGTGATAAACTACAAATGTGAACGCTGGAAAATACTGTTCTTGTTAATCCATTGCAGCTCAAAAATTGTTTTTATGATCTTACCATCTTTCTTAGTTTCTGAAAATTTCTGATCCCTGAAAGGACGATCCAGGAGATCACCAATTTTACCTCTTCGTCCCTAAAAAAGAGTTGTTCAAAGTTGAACTCGGCCAATTCAACCACAAAAGGCAGCAAATAAGCAAAATGCAAAAAATCAGCCTAAATATGTGTGAAAATTTTGGTTTATGTACTTTTCTGCATATCTGGGAGATTTGGCGACTCTTACAGAAGGCTGGTAGATTTTGTTTGTATCTGACAGACTTCTGGATAATCTGGGTGAGTTGGCATAGATGCTAAATCCATTGTCAGATTCCAAGGGATGATGCAAAAAATGTTTAAGATCTAACAAAACTAAGGTCATCCATTGTGTGAAGGCTGTGGACGTTGCTCCTGATCTCATTGAAAAACTACATTGAACTACCTTTTCTTTGATAGAGATATAGAGCTTTGATTGATTAGAATGTATGTACTTGTAGTTCCTACAGGTCATAGTCAGAGGGTTTCCATCTATATTTTGTGTATGTTGGGCTTTTGAACTGAGCCCTCCCCG